AAAAAAAAAAAAAAAAAAAAAAAGCCCTGTGCTCACCAGCTGCAGTAGCGGGGATCAGGGCCTCTGAGGGCTTGTGGCAGAGCCCCCTCCCCCCCCCACAGTTCATAGCAGTGGGGGGCACTGGGAATCTCCCCCACACTTGGCACCCGCACAACAGCTGTCACATCGCACAGGTGCAGTGCAGCTTGGAAGGACGCCGCGTGCTGTCTGGGAGCTGGGGTGACTCCAGCACACAGCCAGAGCCTAGCACCACTCAGCCCCAGCAGCCCCAGCTCCCAAACAGTGCACAGTCCCCCCACAGTTCATAGCAGTGGGGGGCACTGGGAATCTCCCCCACACTTGGCACCCGCACAACAGCTGTCACATCGCACAGGTGCAGTGCAGCTTGGAAGGACGCCGCGTGCTGTCTGGGAGCTGGGGTGACTCCAGCACACAGCCAGAGCCTAGCACCACTCAGCCCCAGCAGCCCCAGCTCCCAAACAGTGCACAGTGCCCTGCAAATCCCCGCTGCACCCGCACCATGGGACAGCTGCCACATGGGTGTCAGGCGGGAGGGGGCAATCCCTGCTGCCTCCCACTGCTCCATGCTCTGCGGGGGGTGCTGATTTGATTTTGAGGATATTCGGCCTGATTTGGCGGCAGAATCTCCGAATCCAATTAAAACCAATTAAAAGGAGACCAATTAAAAGGTCTGAATCGATTCGGAAAAGATTCAGAGAGCTTCATAGATTTGGGCTTGCTGCCACAGGGAGCTGGAGCTGGACCCAGACTCCGTGCCGTTAAGTAGGGGGTGGGGAAGAGAACTATGGGAGGACCCCTGCCAGGCCCCTTCCTCTGCCTGCTCCCCCAGCTCCCATGAGTGCCCCCTGACCTGTGCCCACTCTCCCAGCCCCCACCCCCCACCATGGCTGCCCCGCCCAGCCCATAGATTTGGGCTTGCTGCCACAGGGAGCTGGAGCTGGACCCAGACTCCGTGCCGTTAAGTAGGGGGTGGGGAAGAGAACTATGGGAGGACCCCTGCCAGGCCCCTTCCTCTGCCTGCTCCCCCAGCTCCCATGAGTGCCCCCTGACCTGTGCCCACTCTCCCAGCCCCCACCCCCCACCATGGCTGCCCCGCCCAGCCCAGCTCCCAGTGCTTTAAAAAAAAGAGCCCCCACTAACCAGCTGCTGCAAGGCAGGGGGTGATCTCCGCTGCCCCCCACTGCATGGGGGGCTTTGCCATGAGCCTCCTAACCCACACCCGCTCTCCCAGTCCCGCCATGGCCGCCTTGCCCACCCCCGCTCCCAACTTTTCCCCCAGCCCCGCCATGGCTGCCTTGCCCACCCCAGCTCCCAGCTTTTTAAGAAGAAGAAGAAAGGAAAAAAAGCCCCACACTCAGCAGCTGCTACAGCAGCCATCGGGGCTTCTGCGGGCTTTTTATTTATTTTTTTAAAGGGCTGGGAGCTTGGGCCAGGAGAACAGGCAGGGGATGGGGGCTCATGACAGAGCCCCCCATGCAGCATGGGGCAGCAGAGATCGCCAGTGAGTGCCAGGCTTTTTTTTTCAAATAGCCGGGAGCTGGGGTCAGGCAGGGCAGCCACTGACAGGGTAATTTGACTGATTCGGCTGAGGCCGACCGTCTGAATCAGATTTGGCCCAATCGATTTGGGACAGTGATTTGAATCACCAAATCAAACCACTGTCCCGCAAACTGGCCAAACCCAAAGCAAATGCTAGCTGTTTCACACAGGCCTACTGATTACCCCCCGGTCCTATACCACAAAGGACAACCAGGGTAGGCATTTCATGCTGCTGTAGAGACAAACCAATATTGTATAATTTAACTGACACACACAAAATGGGTCAGCTTTCAGAACCTAAATTCCCTTTATACAATGCAAGAGCATAATATTGAAACTACATTTGATCCCATCATAGCACCCAACATGGGTTACTTTTCAGTATCTTCACTGGGTTGGAATCTATGGCGCTCAGTTGGTTTGAAGACAGAATTAATATAACAGAAACACTTTGCAAAGCAGGACTTGTTTAAAAGGATGCTACTACATAAAGAAGAAAATTAAGTCCTGCTGCACTAGTCTCAACTTGAACCAGGGTAAAGCCAACAGGACTAGGGGGGGGAAACAATCACAGGACAAAATGACTAAGGAAAGAAATATCTAAAGCTTTTGCAACTGAAGAGTGACCTTTCTCCTCTTCTACCAAATTTTAAGTCTAGATTTAGAAGTTAGACATTTGCATCAAATCTAAATATCTTAAAGTTTTAAAATCTCCTAATGCATACACTTTCCAAAGGTTGAGGGAATCTCCCAATACATATACTCTTAATGCATATACTTTCCAAAAGTTGGTTTAACACCATAATGTGTTGTCATTTACTTCTAATTAAAGCCTGTACAGTAGATTTCAGTAACAGCTGAATAAATACAGGCAGTTTCCCACATCCCCTTTCCTTCAATGAGAGGGATGTCACTCACATTTAATTTAAATGCATCTAAAGAGCACAGGGCCTTGCTTTTTTCCTTCAATTTCTATTGGGTTCTGCAAGTTCTGAATATTTTAAGTGAAGCTTTCAGAACTGTTTTTATTTAAACCAGATCTTCTGATGACTAGAGAGCTATGGGCATTGCACTGCCCACATTCAGGCCCTTTCTATCTCATTCTGGCTAGAATACTGACACATAGCTGATGAGCAACCAAAGATGTGCATCGGTTACACTACTCTAAAACAGAGTCCGAAGGTATCTTGTAGACGAAGTGTTAGAATGCCACGTGTAACAGACCTTAATATTGTCAAGATTAACTGGAAACATTAAAAGGTCTAAAACTGAATTAGCAGAGAGCTGCAATGCCTTTAAAAAAATCTTGGGGGGAGAGGGAATAAAACAAAAAAAAAATGCTAAAACAAATTTAAGTGACCAAACCAGGGTCATTATTTACCAAATCCAGAACTTCTGTTTTCAATGCTGCTAACACTTGACCAAAACTTCTGATGAGAAGAAATTAACATGATGGTTCTTTTCCTCCCTGTGACCCCTTTTTTTGTTTAATCTTTACAATAGCATCACATGGAAACAGCCAGCCCTGTTGAGAATTCCCATGAACCCCAGATAGAAAATCATTCTGAGATGGAGTGCCTGGGTGAGTGAGTGGGTGGGAACCGGAGCAGGAAAAATTAACAGTTATAAATGACTATTTTCAACCTATCAAAGCTTTTTATTTTGGAAGAGGGAATGCAGAATCCTTTAAAGCTACAGCTGGGGCTTTATTGCAGTAGTGAAGTTCCTGCAGGAATTTTACCAATCACTTCAAAAACTGCGCAAGACAAACTTGTACTGTTCCTCCAAACATATATTCTATGTTTATGGCAGCAACTGTTTTAAATGTTTGGGTTTTTTTAAATACAATGGGAAAAAAAAATTTTTTTTTCAGGGAAACAGAATTGGGCTTGAAGATAATGAACCTCATACAAAAGTGGTGTAGTTAAAAAAAATAATACAAGTCTATGGGTTGTTAGACCTGAATAACTCCATACTTTAAGTGGGGGGGAAATATTGTAGATGAAAGAATTATAATATTACATTTGTAAGTTCGTGAAGCAGGGGGGTTTTTTATATAACAGTAATATGACACTAATGTTTTCTACTAAGCTTTATTGCATAGTAACTCTTGCTACACAGCTGATGCCTGTTAAAATGAATGGGAATGCATTAAGTTAAATATGATGACAGCTAATAATGAGACTGTTAAGTCATATAACTATCAAAATAATGGCTGTGGTGTATGATTTAGGTCACCTATTGTGACTGCCATGGTATGGCAAGCACAGTTTTCAACAGACGCACAACACCCAAGTTCTAACCTCAGTTACACCATATAGAGTAACCAAGATCAGAGTCTGGCCTCCTGAGAACAGCAGCTAATTTGACATACCATAGGCTGCAATATCTAGGAGAACTGACAACAGACATCCCTTAGACATAAAGTAAGAGAAGTTCTTTGGTGTGGATCTTCTTCATGATCTATGCAGTACTTCTTACTTTTTCCCTGCTCTGCATGCTAACTGGTCTCAGCTAATAATGAATGACATATTCACTGCATGCAGTAATCAGAAGACAGTAAACACATCCTAGCAGAGTATCTAAACTGAATGGCAAGCAGAAAGTTTCACTGCAATTACAGCATCCTTTC